GGAATGATTTCAGGTACCTTTGAATATTTATTTTATACATTGCTTTCTTCCAACTCATGCTGAGTTGATAGGCAACATTTTGTTACAAATCATATTCCTGGAATTCAGAACCATGTTCAATTGCTGGAAGAGATATGGAATAAATGAGTTAAGAACATGGAGAAACCCTCAAATGAAGACTCACAAAATCTACTGACGAGGTTCCATGAGTTTCCTCTAATTCAGATCTGGCCAACAGCTCAGCTTTATCATGGACCTTCTTGAATTTATGTGGGCTTCACCTTATCTCTCTTTACAAAATAATAATAATAACAAATAATAATTGTTTAAAGGCAAAAAACCAAAACAAAACAAAAACAAAAACACAGAGAAAAATCTCTTACAACTATCCTAAACTCATTCCTTGAATCAATCCCAACCAAAGCTAACAATGTTATTGCATTTGACTTGTCCTCTTTGTCCCTCTATCTGTATGTACTGCTATTATTATATTGTTTCTACCACTCACTATGTTTGGGGAAAAATAATTATATTGACTTACATCTTTTATTTTTAATCGTTAGCTGAATTATGCTATAGAATTATAAATTGATATTATTTTACTCTTCAAAACCTACAAACATTCACATTTGAAGAAAACATAAAAGGTATAAGTGGCTGCAGGTTCAAGCAAGTAAAAATTATTTATGGCACCTCAAACTTTTGTAGCCTGACCTGTTGACCCTCAGTGTTCATTAGAAATTCATCAGTACCAGGCTATCATCTCTTCTCTGCGTCTTCCTTTTTTTCTGATCTATTGGCTTTAGGCCAAGGAGAGATTTTCTTTAAAAAAAAAAAAGCCTTTTAATTAGCTCTTCACCCTCCTGATAGTTTCAGAATAACTCATAAAAAAGAAAACTTCAGAGCATAGTTCATTTCTGAAGAAATTCATGAAAAAGTGAAGCTATCCAACAGTGCTATTCTCCTAAGAAAAGTTTTAGGCTGTGTGTGTGTGTGTGTGTGTGTGTGTGTGTGTGTGTAGGCTATAGGCAAAGATAATTTTTATTTTATTATATGAGACATTTAAAAAATTCTGACAACTTCAATACTTTATTTCTTCATGTAATAAAAATAATAGTATCTTTTTGAGTGTTCACTATGTGTCAGACATTAAGCTGATCCCATAAAATTGCTTTTTTTCATTTAATCCTCTGAATAACAATATTTGATAACATTCTTGTGCTCATTTTATAGATAAGAACTGAAGACATACATGGCTTAGTGGCATATCCAAAGTCACACAGTCAATAAATATTACAGTCTGAATGTCCAAATAGTCGGTCTTATTTTAAAGCATAAATTTTAAGCGTTGATGATATTGTATAGTATCCTGTTATGAATATTCTATGTGTATTCATATAAATAGAAGTCATAAAAGTGTCCTTAAATCTGTCAGTTTATAACTGATGAAAGAGAGTTTAATGTCAATGAACATATGTTGATATTTCATAAGTGAAGGAATGAAACTAATACCTCTCTTGTTTTTCATTGGCTTCTGTGTGGGAACATGTATATAGTTAGGGAAGGGAGAGGATATTGTCAGTTCAAAGGGCAGGAAGGCTATAGTTTTATCAAATTTTTTTTTCTAAGCCATAAGAAACTAAATGTGAATCCTATAATAGAACTCATCTGAATTGTTAGTTCTTGGAATCACTGCTTCTTCCCCTACTGTATTGAAAGGCAGGGCAAAGAGGATCAGCCAATGGACAAGCTGGTTTACCAAGAAAAGGTAGTTTGCTTTCTTTGTTTCTTCCATTCAAAGTACTGGGAGGGTGTCCTCTTTCCTGCTCCTCACCAATCCTCCTTGCCAAACCTGTGGAGACCAGAATCAGACTCTTCATCATTTCATACCATTGTCCCATTGTCTTTTTGGTTTTTCTGGTGTGTGTGTGTGTGTGTGTGTGTGTGTGTGTGTGTGTGTGTGTATGTGTGTATTTAAAGAGAACATTGTTAGCTACTATAAAAGATAAACTGAGGTATAGTAAAATTTTCAAGACTTTATTTGGGCAAAATCAATTCCAATCAGGGCAGTGGCAAACTGGAAGTAGTTAAGAGTGCTCCCATGACAGGAGTTTAGGGAGAGACATTTATAGAGAAAAGGCAGAAGCAGGGCAAGGGAATTATTGATTAGCTATTGCTTAAAGTCTAGTTGTCTGTTTGTGATTGGTTGTCTTTAGTTTTGAGGTATTTACAGGCTTAAATTTTGGTTTGCTTACAAAGGCCATCAAGACATTTGCACCATCTCAGTCTGATGAACTCTGTGTTTAATTAATTTAATGCCAATTTAACTAATCTAACACAAAGAGAGTAGATGTTGACGGGAATGCTTTCCTGGTTGTGTGTGAGTGGCAGTGGTGGGTTGGGGGCTGTAAGAAGGTAAGGAGCTCTCTCAGCTGGCAGCTGCTTGTAAAAAGTTGCAACACAAGGGCTGGTTTGTTGTTTTTGTTGTGCAGGGTTTTGTTTTTGTTTTTGTTTTTTAATTATTAAAACTTTTTTTTTAGAACACTTTAAGGTTCACAGCAAAATTTAAGGGCAGGTGCTGAAATTTTCCATATGCTCCCAGCCCTCAACAGATGCATACCTTCCCTCATTATCCACACCACCCACCAGAGTGGCACATTTGTTACAGCTAATGAACCTATACTGATACATCATAATCACCTAAAGTCCATAGTTTAAATGAGGGTTCACTCTTGGTGTTGTACATTCTGTGGGTTTTGAATCAAAAATTGTTTTATGCCTCAGACATAGACCCATTTTTACTCTATGTTCTATGTTTCTTTGGTAGTGTTAAACTGCTAAAACCTCAGTGCACCTCTCATCTAGTTGATTCTAACTCAACAACATATGCTAATGGTCATACCCAAGCTCTTTTCTAGAATATTTCTCATTTTATTTTTTTTAAAGATTTATATCCATTTGAATACAATTCTCTCTCCTTTGCTCTCCCTCACTTTTTCTCACTCTCACATATACTTTATTTATAGATACCTTCATCTCCCAGGCTTTCATGGGAAATCCACTCATGCAGTACATTTTTTCTGTGCAGATACATGTTTCCATTTGTGAAGATACTCTGGGAATCAACTCTACCTCATTAGAGACTTTAAACAGTGAATGGATGTACACAGTCTTGACTTGATCCTTGTAATGAAACTGAGTTTTAATCAGCCTTTGTTTCCCATAGTAATTATTTATACTTTCATTGAGATATAATTGACAATAGATTACACATATTTAAAATGTATAGTTTGTTAGGTTTTTACATGTGTATACTCCTGCAAAAGCGTCACCACGGTCAAGATAATGTCCATATTCATCACCTGCAACCATTTACTCAGGCTTTTTTGTATGTATCCTCCCTTCTATTACTAATCCCCAAGCAACAACTGATCTAATTTTTGTGACTATAGTAAATATTGTCTATTACTTTACATAAATCAAATTTTGTTCATTATACTTAGCGTAATTATATTTTCTGTTGCTGAGTAGTATTCAATTTTATGGATGTGTAAAAATGTTTTCATTCATTTAGGGACACCTGGGTGGCTCAGCTAGTTGGGCGTCTGACTCTTGATTTCAGTTCAGGTCATGATCTCACAGTTGGTCATGGAATCAAGCCCTGCATCAGTCTCCTTACTGGTGTGTGGAGGCTCTCTCTCCCTTTCTCTCTCTGTTTCTTCCCGGCCCCCTCTCTCAAAATTAAGAAATAAACATTTAAACATTTTTTAAAAATGTTTCTATCAATTTTTCTATTTGTTTTTAAGTTTTTATTTATTTTGAGAGAGAACATGAGCAGGGGAGGGGCAGAGAAGGAGGGAGAGAGAGAATCCCACTGTCATTGTGGAGCCCCATGTGAGGCTTGAACTCACAAACCATGAGATCATGACCTGAGCTGAAACCAAGAGTCAGTTTAACCAACTGAGCCACTGAGGTACCCCCTTAATTTTTCTACTGACAGATATTTGAGTTGTTTCTAGTTTTTGTCTATCGCTTATAAAACTGCTTTGCATATTCATTCAAAAATATCTTTCTTTTCTGTTCTAAATGGTACATTTTACTATTTGTGGGTGAATAACAGTTTCTTCTTCCAACATCTATAGGGCTCTGAATTTAAGGGTTTTATCTGTTTTCATTCATTACTGCCAGTCATTTCCTGGGTTCATCTCTCTTAATACCTTGCCAAATGTAGACAATAACAGTAAACATACATTATTAACATTTTGTATTTCAAACTGTAGCCCAGTGTTATTAGTTTATTAGATAACCTGAGTCCCAAATGGTAAAAAACAAGTTTTGCTAAAAGTTTTATTACTGTAAAATGTGAATCTGTATGATGGTGTGGGTTGAAGTTTTAGAGAAGTGCTTAGAAGTCCTCTTTTAAAAAATGGCACTAAATTGTAAACACAAAATTAGGTATAAAATTGAATATTTATAACGAGAAGATAAATCACAAAATAGTTACAAATAAAAAATATAATAAATACCAGAAGCATCACAAATTTTTAAAAACTTATTTATGATATACCTATAATTTTTCTGCCTTTTGACTTTTATTGCATTTTTAAAAATGTTTGTTTATTTTTGAGAGAGAGAGAGACAGAGCATGAGCATGGAAGGGGCAGAGAGAGAGGCAGACACAGATGCTGAAGTAGGCTCCAGGCTCTGAGCTGTCAGTACAGAGTCCAACGTGGGCTCAAACTCACAAACCACTAGATCATGACCTGAGCAGAAGTCAGATGCTTAACTGACTAAGCCACCCAGGTGCCCCTCTTTTAATGCATCCTAATATTACATTGAATTTTTATAATATTATTTTCCCTCATAGAATAGAAGAGTAAATCTATCTTTCCTTTACCATGGTAGATTCTTTTTTAAATTCTTGACAATTTGGATACATAGAACATAAGACTTCATGCCTAGAAATACTCAATGTTAGTAGTAATAGTACATCTTTTTGCCCTTCAAAATAAGGGAATTCTGATACATTCTATAATTCCACTTAAAAATGCATTGTGTGCATGACTCGTGATTAACGTCTCTGCGTAATCAGGACTTGCAACACGCAGATTGCTCCTATCTGATTCAAAAAAAAATGCATTGTGTGTTTATTGTTATACATATGTCACGTTATTCCATGATACATGCAGGAGAGAACTTCAGTTTTGACTAGGCTTCTATAAAAAAAATCTTTTGCTTACAATTTTATAATTGGAAAACTGGAAAAAATATTCCATATACTAGTTTCTAACTCCATATGTACCAATCGTAGTACTCCTCCACAACTCATATTCTTCCAGTGACAGATGCTATAGGACACATTGCTATTTCATAATACCAGGTGAATTGGCACAGAGAGTGGCAGGGATATTCTGGAAAGCATTTCTCCACTGGCATGACCAACAAAACTTAGTTATAAATTTTGTTACATTCTTCTATTCTCTTTTTCTCAAACTAAATGTATCTCCAACTCAGTTTTCCCTTAGAAAAATACCAGAAATGATTGTGGTAACACTAATTTCACTCAACATGAAGAATGTGATGGAGAAGTAGTTAGAGTAAAAAGAGACAGTGGTCTTAATAAAGTGAGTTTATAGTACCAAAGTTAGAACATTTTGCAAAGATGTCTGCTTGTAAAATCCATGTGAACACATTAGTAGGTTCCCTTCTATGGCTTTGGGATGGACTTATGTAGGTAGGGGGAACTGAAGTCTGTTTCATTAACTTCATATTTAACTTGTGCCTGATTCCCACCTTTCCAGCCTTTGCTAACATTTACCTTGTCACCTGCCTCACCACAGCTAATCTACTGCTACACATTTTAGGCTTTTATATATGTCAGAATTTCAGATGTATGAACCAATCTCCCTAACAATCAGGATATACTAGGTTATGCTGTGGAATTAGATACATTCAAAATTTCAGTGGTTTAAAATAAACAAACCAAGTTTGTTTTTTGGGGGTTGATAGCACTAAGATGTTTATTCATTTCCCCTCTTGTTTACTCAGGGACACAGTTGATGAAGCTCCATCTGACATGTGTTCCCATAATCATCCGAGCAGAGGAAAGAGAACTCAGGAGTTCATCACAGTGGGAATTAAAAGTTACAGTTTGCAAATAACATGACATTTCCCTCTCTTACCTCAATAGCTAATGGAACAAACACCCAAACTTATGGGATTCAGCAGGTGCAGTCTTCCACATATCTAGAAAGAGTGGAAAGCTGGTTGTAAGTGAGTAGCACAAAAGACTCCCACATAGTATAACAGGAATGTCAAACTTAAGAGGTCAAAAACTGATCTCCTAGGCTACTCTGGACATCTCCTGCTAATTGTGCTGTTGTTTCAACATAACGTATTGTCAACCATATTTTATCATTGAAGTAAGCACGTGAAAAGAACCAAAAGTGAAATGTTTCAAATTTTCTATTTATTAACTGCATTATTGTTTATGAAACTTCTTGCAACTTATGATATAGTAAAAATCAATAGCAGTCTTAACTGAAATATGATATAAACTCAGATATAATGAAGAAAGGCATATAGGAGATTTTTTTTCCATGATGGTACAGATGATGTATTATTTCCCTCATCAGAATATTGGTTAATAGCAGATATTGGACTTCCCCGGTATTTCAAATCCCAACTCTTTCCATGCTTTTTAGTCTTTCCTCCTAGAAACTTGACCAAATAAGCAATAGTAATTCAGCCAAAAGTCCCCTTTTAGCTTGCAATACATTATTTCTTAAATTGAAATAATTCTGTGTTGTGTATCTATTAGAATAATTTCTATCTCTCTGATATCTTTTACTTTTTTGTTTGGTAATTTTAATAAGAGACTTGATTTTAGTTAATTTGTTTAGGCTTTAAAATATGGTCTGATCTGGGAATACAGAAAGGAATGAAGCACAGCTCCTGCCATCAAGTATCTCACAAATAGAACCAAGACAAGAAAGTAACAGAGAAGAAAGAGAAGGGATTTCAGGCAGAGAAAATCAATGTATAATAGCATGAGAGTCTGAGACTACATTAGTGCAGAACTATTATTGCCAGTACACTGCATTTCAGTAAAATTGGAATGTGGGGTGTATATGCCTCGTTGTAGAGGTGGGTCACACAGCAGGATGAGGGAACTGGTGAGAGACAGAAGAGAAAAAAGTGAGCAGTGGCCAGATCATGAATGACTTTTCTGGCCCCAAGGAAGTAATTAAGTTTATCTTGTGTATGATGGGAACCATTGAAAGGAATACCATATTGGATTATCTCCCTCTTGTTCTAGAGTGCCTTAATTTTATTTTCTATTTTTATACTCAGTAAATGACTCAACCATTTTGATGATCTTTGTATAAATACCATCTTCCTGTAATGATCTTCCTTTACTTCCCTCTGTTTAACCCTATGATTCATGGTCTTTTTTTTTCTTTATATTTTTTTGGAATTATTTTCCTGTGATATAGAGTTTCATATTTTCCCCTTATGATTATTTTATATTAACATGCTTTTACTTTCATTTTTTACAATTATAATTCATAAACAACAATTTTGTACTTTGTTTTTAGACAGATTAACATGGTAGTAATGCAGTAACTATACCATATTAACAACATTATATAGACATTGTGTAAAATAGAACCTTAATAAGTGTTTAATGCAGAAGTTACCTTGTAATTCTTAGAAGAAAAATTACATCAGCAAACATGTTAATATTAATGACATTCAAACAGAGTGACTACTATGTGCGACATGGGCAGCTGGGCTTACATTTAGGAAAACATAAGACATTTCTAATTTCAAGGCACGTTCAAAAACACATCTTTACTATGGCACATCAGTGAAAAAAATTTAAATTGTTTTGTTTTTATTTGTAATAACTATATTTACATTCTAACTGTTTCTTTTTTTGTGGCTTATTTTCTTATTATAGAAACATGAAGGATTATCATAAAACAAAAAACATAATTTTACTTAGCCATGCTAGCATTCAGGCTCACCATAGATGCTGTAATAACGGTGAACATTTGCCAAAGTTAATAGTGGTTCTGTTCACCTTGCCTATGTGCACAGAAAAAAAATTAAATTTTGTATGACCATCTGTTATCCCTTTTCTTAATATAAGTGGTCTCAGATTTTTTTTTTCCTGGAGGACACATAGTTTGTGAAGGGGCAACTATTTTACATATCAGCATGGATGTTCTTTTAAGGACTCATTAAAATGTGTCCTTGAGAGATGCTTGATTTTTTCCTTCTTTATGTTGTTATTTCTCCACATTAATCTAATGCTTTTTTCAAGTATACATTTCATAATGCAGCTTGAGAGTACGTAGGTGATTCCAAATTGATCATTCTCCATCTTCATAAGCTACTCTATGAGCTGAACATCCTATTAAACTCTCAAATTTTGACCTGAGATTATCTGTACACTAAGCATAATTTTAGCCTATGTGAGTGTCATAAAGTGAATGAGGAATCTTGTTCTCTAGCAATTGTAACATCAAAACTTCATTTTGGTAATCCCAAGACTTTGACTTTTCCTGCCCTGACCAAATCTCCTCTTAAATTTATTAATTATTATTTCAGAATGACTGCTTCACTAACCAGTGGTAGATCCATAGGTAACTACCCCATGCTTAACCCTGAGGGGTTAATAAATATCCATGTTTTAACTGCTGTAATATTTACAAGTAAACAGTTAAGTAATCATAACTCATCATGAGATGTGTGAGATAAAAAAGAAGCTTCTAGGGGCGCCTGGGTGGTGCAGTCGGTTAAGCGTCCGACTTCAGCCAGGTCACGATCTCACGGTCCGTGAGTTCAAGCCCCGCGTCAGGCTCTGGGCTGATGGCTCAGAGCCTGGAGCCTGTTTCCAATTCTGTGTCTCCCTCTCTCTCTGCCCCTTCCCCGTTCATGCTCTGTCTCTCTCTGTCCCAAAAATAAATAAACGTTGAAAAAAAAAAAAAAGAAGCTTCTAGAATCTTTGAGGCAAAATTTGTAAAATATCTAAATATTTCATAAAAATTATAAAGCTATTTCTCAATTAAGGCTGAGGGGATAGAAGTAAAGAATAAAATTGCTATTCTATTGTGACATTTATAGTCTTTTCATTAGAATTTTGTAAGAGACATAAACACAAAATCACACCATTTTAAGAAGAACACAAAGACCTGGGGTTTTCTGGACACAGCTTTTCACATAACTATTTTAGTTATTGAATAAACACATAATACTGTCTATATATCAGGCAGCATTCTAAGTACTTTACAAATTAAAACTCATTAATTCTAACTAACCTATGGATGAACTACTATGTACTATGTACTATGTACTTTATAGCTTTCATGTGAAGTAGCTACATGTTAAAAAAATGTTTTTAAGGTTTATTTTGAGAGAGGGAGGGAGAGAGAGAGCGAGTGAGAGTGAGAGACATAGAATCCAAAGGAGGATCTAGGATCTGAGCTGTCAGCACAGAGCCCAACACGGGGCTTGAACTCACAAACCACAAGGTCATGACCTGAGCCAAGTCAGTCACTTAACCAACGGAGCCACGCAGGTGCCCTGAAGTAGCTACATGTTTAGAAAGAACTTGTTGGTATTGACAGAGGGATTGTAGAAATAATGGGGTTCCTCATGATCAGTGGGTGATTTTTAGTGGTCCAGTGGGAGAAGGCAAGAGCAGAGAATATTTTAATGATCATTTTGTCTTCCAGAACTAAGAACTCATTTCTCCTGCAGAAGTCTTGTGGGAAAAAGTAAATTAAAAAATATATGCTTTAAAAAGTATTATTTTATAAGAGAGTTTATTGGGTCACAATGTATTTTCATATATATTATTTCATTTGATTCATTCGATATGGGGATACTGTGAGATGACATTTTCTAACATTTACTGATGTATGAGCCAGACACTTTATTGAATCCTTACAACTTTTGATCATACCCAAGTAATAGAAGAGAAATCTGAGGCTCATATATTAAGCACTAGCAAGTGACGATACTTATAAGCCTCGTTAAACATAAATAAATAAAAGATGTTCAGGAAATAAAGCAAATAAAGGGCCGAATCAAATTTGCCAAAATCTATGTTCTTA